TGGCCATACTTTTCCTTTCCTTAGGATATAATTATAATCTTAATTAAACAATAAAAATGTTTATGTTATTAGGCTAAATAGTTTTAAAGAGTGCAATAAGTTCAACTATAGATATCCACCAAACGAAAAGGAAAAACATGTTCTAAGTATAATCAACATAGCCTTTAAGTGCAAGAGAAGTAATTTGCACCAAACCACCAATGGAGAGCCATAATTTGAGATCGGTGCCCCCACAAAATCATTCAAACGACCCACACATAACATTGGGAGTGAATTATGACCTAACACTCCTTCACACATGATCTCCCTATAGAAATTAGGTAACTATTTGGACACACTAAGCATTGTGACCTCAAACCCTTCATATTTAGATTAGAGATGCTATATATGCCCGTGCACTCCCTTTTTCCGTACAAAATAGTTTGGGGTAAATTTTAAGGTGCAATCACTCGCAAATCACATGTGTTTGATAAGTAATTTTGTGTAAATGTTTGAAATAATAAGCTTAAGTTTATAGCTCGCTCCATATTCACTTTTAACTACTAATTACGTGCAAGTTACGAAAAAGTTGAAGATTATTACCATAACGAGGGGCTAACTTTTAAACCTGGATTTCGGGATTTAAGTGTGTCACAATGCTATATTAGCAATTTTTTGGGGTGACTTTTTCCAAGACCATATATAGTGCTAGGTTATTTTACAAGTTTATATGTCTAAGTAAGAAGAAAGGGTCATGATTGGCTCCTTGTACCTGGTGGAGGGTGGCAAGGTGCTTAAGATAGAGAACAGGGGATTGCATGTTGGTGGTCATCCTCTGTCTTAGTTGATCATTGATGGGTCACATTTGTTTTGCAAGTTGCAAATTGTTTATTCCTTCAAACTTAAGAGAAACAATTTCCTGCGGTAGGGGCACACCAGAACATGCGATTAAAGGAAAATAATAACCCATTCATCCAACGTCATATGTTATTATTTATGATGTTTTTTAATATTATTATTTGTTGAGAATATTGTGATTTGTGAGGTTGATTGAGATGAAGGCTTTGCCTAGGGGGATAATGGCTGATTAGGGGCCACAACAGATACTTGCATCACTAATTTAGATACAGGCAGGTGGGTTATGCTATGGTGCAACATCAATGACACAGCACAAAATGTGGACTTTTCTGTGGCCAAGCCTTCACCCAATTTAGGTGTAGTGCTCTCAACATGTATGACTTGTTTATAGAATTGAGAACATTTGGTTCCTACAAACAATTTTTTTTTTCTTTCTTCCCAAATAAAATACCTTGATCTTAAAATGACTGGATTGATTTTGAATTGGATAGACTAACTTTAGTATCTTGAGTTGGATGCTCTAACTTTGATATTTTGGGTTGGCCAATTGATTATGGTTAGATACTCTAACTTTAAGATGGAATCGAAATACATAGAGAAGTGATTCCAATGAAGTCGAAAAGGAACTCAATAAAGCAAAAGCTTGAAGCCATGAAAGCCAAAAACAGAACTTGGTGAATCAAAAACAGAATTCTACAAAGCGAAAAAAAAAAGAACCGAGTGAAGCCAAAAACACGCATCGTGTCTAGCAATTACAAATGAGAATTGTGTAAAAATCAAACTGCCTAATTAAGTTCAATCACAAAAAAGATAGCGTGTTGAGAATATCAAGCCCCAAATTGGGAATTCTAAGCTTTGCACGACAATAGAAAATTTGTTGGCCCTGCCCTTTGTTTTGAGACTTAATATAAATCATTTGCTACCTTAGAATGAATGCATATAAAACTTGTGTATCTTCTTTTCAAGTTTTAATTAAGAAAATTCAAAATGGACCACAGATACTTACAAACTTGAGTAAAAATCGAACTGCCTAATTTGCTAATTTGTTAAGCTTTGATTGTTTTTCAAAAGAAAGTGGTCATTGTTTTTCTAGTAATGCTTTGATTTTGATGATTTGAAAGTAGAGAGAGACACCAAATAAATAGATTGTATTTTGGGCAAGCAATGGGTCGTGTCGTGTCAGGTTTGTGTCTTCTTAAGATTATATACGTGTCAGGAATGCTCAACTCAAACCTGACTTGTTTAATAAACGTGTCATGCACAGGTTGACCCATTAAGTTCTTGTGCGGGTTTCGGGTTAACCTGCTAAGTGGTAACAACTAAAAGACATTTATAAAAAAAATTTTGAAGAATAAACAAACGGGTTAGTGGGTTGGCAGGTTACACTGGTATTTTAGCGGGTTAGTGAGTTACATATGTATTTTAGAGGGCTAATAGGTATTTTAATAGGTTGGCGGGTTGACCCATCATGACCTGTTTTGTTAAACGAGTTATATAGGTATTTTAGTGGGTTAGCAGGTTGACTCGAAGATTGAACCCGCTAAATTCTCGAGCAGGTTTCGAGTCATGTAACGAGTCGTGCACGAAATTACCACCCTTTTGTATTAGGAAAGGAACGGCGATAAAGATAAGGGTCATGCTAGAGAGACCAACTTGATATACTAATTTGTGTACCAACTCTCTAATAGAGGTGGAGCCCACCAATACAATGAGTCCCACGCTCTATTAGAGAGTTGGTATCCCAAGTTGGTCTCCCAAGTTGGTCTCCCTAGCATTTTCCATATGGAATTGAAGGAAATTTTGGAATTTGGAGTGTCCACCGGGAGATATTTGGAAACGTTAGACTGTTGTACAAAACTTAAAACCGTAGTCAGGGCCCACGAGTTTAAGCATGCACCCACAAAACAGCGTCCACCAAAACCACTAATGGCATTGGCTAGTAATAGGCAGCCAGTGGATTTTGAAACGACTTTGCTCTTCCTCGTTTTAGATTTCAATTTAATTTTTCCAACTTAATAATTAACACCATGCTTCTTTCTTTCTTCTTACGTACAAATACGAACACCCAAAAACCCAGAGTTTACGTTTAAAAAAGCACACCGAATGCCGCGTCAGCCTCCTACTGTCTCCGTTATTGGAAAGAGAAAGCCATCGACGATGCCTAGCTGTGACCCACTCACCCATATTATTTGGTACAATAGGCCCCACGGCCTACGTGCCACGTTGGGACCACACTATATCCAAAATCCTATGTGTGCATATACGCCACCTACTCCACCTTCGCCCAGTGAGATTCTGTCAGCCGTCCAACCAAAAAATGCCACGTCACTGGAGCAAAGAGGATCTTGGAATTTCGTTTTGCTTTTCTCATTTCCGACAGAGTGACGTGTCCCCCAGCACCGTAAACGCAGCGTAACTGGCGCGTTCGAACTTCCGTCCAGAAGAGCTCAGCCGCTTCCACGTTTTGGTTAGACGGGTAATTAAAAGTAATTAATTACGGTGAAAACTTAAAACTACGAAAGTACCCTTGTAGAAACCGGCCAAAGCCAGTCACCTTTTTGCAGCGTTGAGTCAAGGAAAACAGGAGCCATAGAAAGAAAACCAAGGCAGGACACGTTATGCATATGTACTCAATACAAGAAAAAAAAGATGGATGAAATGTTAGGTTAACCCAGTTAATTACGGCAATGAGTCTGCTTCTTTAAATCCAAGTTCGAATTCTCTTACTCACTCGTAATTTAGACCATCACTTGCTTGTATTAAAAATTAAACAGGAACCAAAATAATTGTAATAAATAATATAATAATCGTACAGGGCCTACAGGGTACATAAACTAGGACAGAAAGTGAGAGAGGAATTAAAAAAGGGATTGAAGAAGAAAGTGGATAAGAGGAAAAGTAAAGCGGTTTTGTGAAAGCAACAAGAAAACCACAGGAGGGTAAGACAATGGTTTTGTATTTTTCACGAAACAGAGGCACTATTTTATTTTATTTTTGAATTAATTTTTGTCAATTTGAAGATTAAAAATGAAGTCAATTACCCACCAGGAAGGTGGAAGTGGGAAGGAAATCATGTGTCATGGAGATATGACCTCTCTCATGCCTCTCTCTCCTCCCCCATAATATAAAAGGGATGTTTGCTCCTCCTTCTCCTCCATCCCATTTCTCATTCCCTTCTTCATTTCTATCATTCTCTGCGTTTTGTGTATTGAACCCCTGCGTTCACTATTCTTTCTTCAATTCATTCTTTTCATTCATTTGTTTCTCCTCTCTCTCTCTCTCTCTCTCATTAGTGAAGAACATATTGGTTGGCATTCCAAGGTAATGTTAGTCTAGTGTTATTTTATACATCCTTGGATTGATCTTTATGTTTTGTTTTCCCGAAGAGGAAACCCAAACAACCCTGTTTTAATTAGCTGAGCTACAAACTCCTTTTGATGCATCGGTAGGTTTGAATTAGACATATTAGTTGTTTTCAGTCGGTTTCACGTCACCTCCGATGATTGCTCCCACTAGCTAATAACATATATAGTAACATTATAGTGTGATGGGATTCGGCATATTCTTCAAACATATCTTCTTATCTAAATGTGTGTGCATATAAATATTATATATAAATGTGTATACGTGTATGGTATAGTATAGTAATTAAAAAACATGAATCCAAAACCAAAGATTGGATTACATTAAACCCATGAACCCAATGGGCTAGAATTCTAGGGTTTTATAGGGAACAACAACTTCAGAGTCTAAAAGTGGCCAAAAGTCCGACTTCTGAATCATCACCCAACCAGCACCTTCTTCGATTAGACCCATGCATGCCCCTCTTTCTCTGCACTTTCCCTGACCGCCACATATTTTTTTTAATTTTTTTTTTTTATCTTTCACACATTCCATGATTTTGGTGCCTTCAATGGAAAAATGACATCAGAAAATCCCAATGGATTTTTCTTGTTGCTCAAGACCTACAAAAAAAGGCAAATGCTTGAATGTCAAGGCTTAAAATTAAACAGCACAAAATTGATTAATTCTCTAATTTCTTTCCATAAATCCTATCATATCCGATTTTCAATTTGTGAATTTACGAAATTACCCCCTGTTTTTTTATGGCTTCTTCTGGTAAGGAAATGAGACTGGTAAAATGGATAAAATAGATTTCCGACTACCCTTCTGGATTTTTTGTTGCCACTGCCCTTTATTATCGTACGCTCCAAGTTGTTTTTTTAACTTGCTAATTTTCGTTCGCGGTTCCACGCTATAAATTGCCCACCAACTTTGTTCTTCCGAACCACAACACTTCTCTTCTCTGTTTCCAAAGGCTCTCTCTCTCTGTGTTCTTTGTCTAGGTAACTCCTTTTCTCTTCCCATTTTTATTTTTCCTTGTGTTCTTGTTCTTCTTGTTGGGTTATTTCTTTAGGCTATATGGTCTTTGCTCTTTTTTTCTTTTGGTTCATCTGCCAAATCACATAGATCAATGCCTTCTGAATGTTGGGTTGAGTTTATTTGAGGGTATATACTCTGTTTTTGCTTTGTAGCACCAGTATTTTGTGCAGATCTCTGTCTTTAATTTTTTTCACTCTGCTTTTGTTTGTTGAAAGTGAAAAAGCTGTTTATCTTTTTGACTGGTTGGCTTGTTTCAGTTCAACAAGCAACCAGTAGAAGAAGTGTTTTTCTTTCATCTTGTTGGTCTTTTTCAGCTTCTCTTTTGGAGAAAAGATTTATTCTTGTCAACATTTGCCAAATGCACCATTTTTATTTTTATTTTTCTTTGATAAAAAGCGTTTTCTCTGCTTTTGCTAAGCACCCTTAATTATTATAAGCCTGGATTTTTATGACGGGCTTGAAGCTTTTTATCTGGCAGCCACTCTGCAAATCCTTTCTGGGTGCATCTAATTATTAAATAATTAAAATCAGCGGTTACGCTGCTACAGACCATCTGGATCTTTTTTCGTTATTCTTAACCACTATTTAGGTTTGCAAATCTTTGTTCAACCGCACTTCTCTAATTAACGTTTGTATGAGGTGGTTGGGGGATGGTGTGTTTGGTTTTGAAAAATCAAAGAAATCTTAGTCTTCTAGAATAATAAATAATGTTATTATTATTATTACTGTAACGTTGGAATTATTGACTTGGTGGTGATTATCCATCTCTTTTTATTGCGAAGCTTCTGGATGACTTGTTATACTCACGGCTTGCTTTGTACTTGCAGTTTTTTAAGGTTCTCTGATTTACCAACCTGCTATCAATGGCGGATCGTGCCTTGACCCGTGTCCATAGCCTCCGCGAGAGGTTGGACGTGACTCTCTCTGCTCACCGCAATGAGATTGTTGCCCTTCTTTCAAGGTACAAGACGTCTCAGATCATCATTGTATCTATGATCACAAAAGGGTTTTTGTTAAATGTTTCAAAACATGCAAAAAGACCATTTTGAAAATTTAAGGTTGCTAATGTGAGAGAGGTTGTTGATATTGCAGGATTATAAACAAGGGAAAAGGGTTTATGCAGCCCCATGAGCTTGTTGCTGAGTTTGAAGCAATTCCTGAAAGTAACAGACAGAAGCTTTTGGATGGGGCTTTTGGTGAAGTTTTGACACACACCCAGGTAAACTTATCAGATCATATTTAATTATAATCATTATTTCTGGGTTCATTTGAGGAATTTTGTGATTTCAACTCTTTTTTTTTTGTTTGTCATGTAGGAAGTTATTGTTCTACCCCCATGGGTGGCTCTTGCTGTGCGCCCACGGCCTGGTGTTTGGGAGTACATCCGTGTGAATGTCGACGCACTTGTTGTTGAGGAGCTGCAGGTGCCTGAGTACTTGCACTTCAAAGAGGAACTTGTTGATGGAAGGTAGATTTTTGGTTTTTAATGTTTAATTTGGTTCTTGATCTGTTTGTTCTGCTGTTTATGATGTTAATAATCTGAGCTGCTTTCGATTGCAGTGCCAATGGCAACTTTGTGCTTGAGTTGGACTTCGAACCATTCAACGCTTCTTTCCCCCGCCCAACTCTTTCCAAGTCCATTGGAAATGGCGTTGAGTTCCTCAACCGTCACCTTTCTGCAAAGCTCTTCCATGACAAGGAGAGCATGCACCCACTGCTCGAATTCCTCCGAGTTCACTGCTACAAGGGCAAGGTTTGTTTTCCTTACACAGATCGATTTCTCTCATTTACAGATTTACCATCATTGATTTGATAATGAACTAAGTACGCCTTGCTGATTTCTTGATTTAATTGTTTTTTTGTTGTTGCTGCAGAATATGATGCTGAATGACAGAATTCATAACGTGAATGAACTCCAACATGTTCTGAGGAAGGCAGAGGATTACCTCTCCACAATTGCCCCAGAAACCCCTTACAAGCAATTTGAGGACAAGTTACAAAAGCTCGGTTTGGAGAGAGGTTGGGGTGACACCGCCGAGCGCGTTCTCGAGATGATCCAACTCCTCTTGGATCTTCTTGAGGCACCTGATCCTTGCACTCTTGAAAAGTTCCTTGGCCAAATCCCCATGGTCTTTAATGTTGTGATCCTTTCTCCCCACGGCTATTTCGCTCAAGACAATGTCTTGGGGTACCCTGACACTGGTGGCCAGGTCAGTTTACAAGCCTGAGGTCTTATGCTTAACATTTTCTTTTTGTGTCTGTTTAGGTTACCTGATTTTTGGTTATGGATTATGTTTTTCTAGGTTGTTTATATCTTGGATCAAGTTCGTGCTTTGGAGACTGAGATGCTTAAGCGTATTAAGCAACAGGGACTGGATATCACTCCCCGCATTATTATTGTGAGTCTTGCTTGAAATCTTTTAGCTCCTTTATTCTTGTTGTTTGGTGATATTGTACCTTATTGTGATGGCTTGATTCTGTTTTCTCCCCAGCTCACCAGGCTTCTTCCTGATGCGGTTGGAACAACATGCGGTGAGCGTCTTGAGAAAGTATACAACACAGAGTATTCCCATATTCTTCGTGTTCCCTTCAGAACAGAGAAGGGTATTGTCCGCAGATGGATCTCGAGATTTGAAGTCTGGCCCTACCTAGAGACTTATGCTGAGGTGAACTTTTTATTGATACTGTCAGCAGCCATATTTTGTTTCTTGAGTGACAAATGTTCCATTGATTTTTGGTTTTTGCTTGTACTTGGTTCTAAGAAATACCAATTTTTTTTGTTATCAGGATGCGATCCAGGAACTTTCCAAGGAATTACACGGCAAGCCTGATCTCATCATCGGAAACTACAGTGATGGGAACATTGTGGCCTCATGGATGGCACACAAATTGGGTGTTACACAGGTTTGTGATTATTACCACTAGATGTAGTTAGTTATGCCCTTTGATGGCTTTTTCATCTGGGTATATTTTTGTGTCTTTATTAACTAAACACATTCTTTGGATGTTGTTTTGCAGTGCACCATTGCCCATGCCCTGGAGAAGACAAAGTACCCTGATTCTGACCTTTACTGGAAGAAATTAGATGACAAATATCACTTCTCATCCCAATTTACAGCTGATCTTATAGCCATGAACCATACTGATTTCATCATCACCAGTACCTTCCAAGAGATTGCTGGAAGGTAATATATCTCTTGCCTCACATTTCTTGTATCGATGGTCAAATATTTTGGGACCCTAATTTTATGTTCTGTAAATGTTTGCAGCAAGGACACAGTTGGCCAGTACGAGAGCCACACTGCTTTTACTCTTCCTGGGCTTTACCGTGTTGTTCATGGTATTGATGTCTTCGATCCCAAGTTCAACATTGTTTCACCAGGAGCAGACATGAGCATTTACTTCCCTTACTTTGAGAAGGAAAAGAGGCTGACATCATTCCACCCTGAAATTGAAGAGCTCCTTTACAGCCAAGTTGAGAACAAGGAACACTTGTAAGTTTCCTTCCATCATCTTTGCCTTGATTATATTTTGCTTGTTCTGTAATTGAACATATGCTAATCTGTTTGTTTGTTGCCAAACAGATGTGTGTTGAAGGACAGGAACAAGCCAATCATCTTCACAATGGCAAGGCTGGACCGTGTGAAGAACATTACTGGACTTGTTGAGTGGTATGGTAAAAATGCCAAGCTTAGGGAATTGGTTAACCTTGTTGTGGTTGCCGGGGACCGCCGAAAGGAGTCCAAGGACAATGAGGAGAAGGCTGAGATGAAGAAGATGCATGAGCTGATTGACACCTACAAGTTGAATGGGCAGTTCAGATGGATTTCATCCCAGATGAACCGCGTGAGGAACGGTGAACTCTACCGTGTCATTGCTGACACCAAGGGAGCTTTTGTGCAGCCTGCTGTGTATGAAGCCTTCGGCTTGACTGTTGTTGAGGCCATGACCTGTGGACTTCCAACATTCGCTACTTGCAAGGGTGGCCCTGCTGAGATTATTGTGCATGGCAAATCTGGCTACCACATTGATCCGTATCATGGTGATCAAGCTTCGGAGATCCTTGTTGACTTCTTTGAGAAAAGCAGGGCAGATCCTAGCCACTGGGACAAGATTTCTCAGGGTGGCTTGCAGCGTATTTTTGAGAAGTAAGCACAGCCCTCTTGTGCAGCAACATAATTTTATTGTCATATGCCTTCTAAATTTTCTTACACCTC